CCAGGATTTTCAGAGAATACTTTATAGACCAGCTGCTCCCAGCCATCCCCTACAGACACAGAGCTTTTGTCATATGGCTTTTATATAGAAGACCATCTAAAGAGAAGTTCCAGCAGTATGTGGCATAGTCTAGCAGAATTTTCCTTAACGAATTTAGCCTGTGTCATGCAGAGGAGGGGATGACTGACCTGTTACACTGCCATTAATTGTTGCATTTCTCAGCTGGGTGTAGAGGGTTGGTGGATACTAAGTGATCCAAACGGGAAATAGATCATTTATCAGAAGTAGAAATTAGAACTGATTGAGTAGGTTGGGTCACAAATTAACATACGAGCGCTCTGTTGTATTCTTTTCTTTTGAGAAAGGGGCCTACACTTGAAGCCAACTACAAAACCAGCACCATTGCCTGGGATACTTACAGAATGTTATGAGGTGGAGTAGGCCAAGAGGCCCCCTGCCACACCTCAAAGAGTAGCAGAAGACAGGTCTTCCAAGAGGCCTAGAGTACTTGCAGAGAAGCAGCCAATGAGAGAGACTGCAGGGAGCAGCCAATCAGAGCCCAGGAGGGCTCTATAAAAAGGAGTTGCCACAGGTGAGATGGGCAGTCCTTTGCTGGAGCTAGAGGACTGTAGATGGTGGTCCTGGTTGATCAAGGAGAACTACAGGACAACAGAGAGCTCAGTGCTAGTTGGCCAGGGCGCAGTTTCCAGAGAGCACGGGGGACAGCAGCCATGCATACCAGGACACGACTTGCTTTTCTTCCCATTCCTCTGGCGGTAAGGGAGTGAGGGGAAAGTACCTGGATTCCATGCATGCCTCTTATTCCTGGCTGGTGAAGGGAGGGGGCAGAGTAATTCACAGAACCCAAGTACTTTCCTCTTGCTCCTTTATTGTCAGGGGAACGTGAAGAAAAGCAAGCTGAGTCCCGGTCTCCCGAAACAATGCCCTTGCTAGTAGGGACTGAGGAAGTGAGGAAGAGTTCCTGGTTGGCTATTGGGCATCAACTTAGAAGGGCCCTGAGCTCAGGGTAAGATGCTGATGAAGGCTGGGGTCATGGGCAAGTACCATAGGGAATTGAAGTCCCTTTTGCTAAAGGGACAAGGCAGCACATGGCTGGCATTCTAAAGGTACCTGTGTGGGCACCTGGTTCTCCCTTACCGCATAGGCCACTGGAAAAGGGCCTACAAGTAGTTAGTGGTAAACCCCGCAGAAGGGGATTGAACTAGCAAGTGGCTCGGATGGAGAGCAGGAGCCAAAACAGAGTGAAATCCCTTGCATCCAGGAAGGAAGTGCAGGGTACAGCCCGATACCAAAGACTTCAGGCACACCTGATTGGAAGGGCAGGTTCATGAGAGGTGACATTACACGGAACATATTGTTGAACTCCATATACTATTATATATGTTATACATTTCTGTTCCTGTTGCTACAGTTATGGGTCATTTACATTTTTCTGTTTAAATAACTATATTTATGGGATTAGAAGTCACACACAAATTTGCCCCTCAGCCAAAATGTGGTACATGACGCCTTAACGAAGGAGCAAATCGTTTTTCAAAAAGGTATGAACTTCCAACTGACTGATCTTTTTTTTTAGGTCTAAGGAAACAAGGCCACTGTATTTTGGAGAACTGTAGATCTTGTGCTGTTCCTTTTGGACCATTATAAAAACTCACATTTGGGTTATTAACATTTAATAGTAGCTCCTGTGGATGTGAAGTAA